CACTGGACCAAGGCTAACCTACTTGAGAAGAGGCGAAAACAAGGCAAGCCAACTTAAAAGACATGGAAAGCACATAGGAAAACCAACCAGGAAACCCAAAAACCAACAACACGAAAATCACATTGGGGCCGAGAGCCAGTTTTTGTCGCAACAGGAACCAACAGTCTAAAATCACATTGAGGCTTAAAGCCAGTTTTTTAGCAACAAGGCTCGCAAAGACCAAGAACCAAGAGTAACCCAAAAAGGATGGAAAGCACCTGACGCACAAAGAGCACAGAAGAGAGGGAAACAAAGCAAACCACTAGTGAACGTGGCCATTTAGAAGGACCGCGCCCGCTCGCTTCTCGCTTTCCGTTGGTTTGCAGGTTTTGGTGGCTTAAAATGAAGAAACAACACTGTAAAATACAGTAAAACATTTCATTTTTGGAGGTGTTGGAAGGAATGGTTTTTGAGAAAAACGTGTCAAAAACACCAACAATTGCAGCGAATTGTGAAAGAAACTAGAAAAGCCCAGATGCAAGAAAACACCGCGAATTATAACGAAAAAGCACTGCATTCTTCGAGGTGTGGGGACCCCACTGTGGGGACGTCTCTTTTGGAGGTAAACTTGTCGCCAACGATCAGACAATTTCTTCACGTGCACTCAGTAGCCCATCTTGGGGCTACGTTGCCCCTATCTTGGGGCTATGTTGGGCAATGTTTGATCGTTTTGGGGGTATGTTGGGGCCATGTTGGGTCATTTTGGGCAGCCAAAGGCTGCTTTCGCGCTTTCCGTGTTTCTTCCGCGGCTTGAACGCTTGTTTTTGCTGGAAAATAGCCTTTGTAGTCATGTAGTCTTGTCAGAAGAGGTATGGAATGCTTGGAATCAACTTGATCTTGTGACGACGATCCCTGGATGGGTGACTTTGATCCTCTCCTCGACACTCAACATCGCCCTCCTCAGGACCTTGGTAGTGCGAGATTCGGCATGCTTAAGAATGCCCAGCTCCAAAAATCTAGCAACCAAATGAATCGTGCGATGCCTTTAAGGAAGCTACACCCACCCTGAGGCGGGGGTAGCTTCCTTGAGCCCTGCTACTATGAGCGCTAGTTACAGTACTAGCTACTCTTGACTTCGGCCTCACCGGGCTGGAAAAAGAAACACGTATTCAATTGTTTTATTCTTTGCAAATCAAAGTTTTTCCAAGCTCCAGAGGTTTTATAGAAGGCCTGTCACGCACGTGACTTGCAGGACCTTGAAAGTGGTCCGCCTTTTACGCGCAGGGCGTTTATTGATATCGATCCCAGAGGTTTACGTTTTGATGAGTGGATTAGCATCAGCCTTGAAGCCGATTATATACGGCTCAATCATGCTGATCTCGGTGATTATGATTTGGGCGATCATCGTGGTAGAGTTCTTGCACCCTGTGAATGTGCAGACGCTCGGCCCATTTGGCTGCTTTGCGCAGAAAAACGTCCTCCTACTGTTGACGAGACAGTCTGCCAGCTTCTAGACATTTTTTGTTTAGTTTCATCACTAATGCAGGTAACATTTGCACACATTTACTTTCTGCTAGCAACTGCTAGTAGTTCTTCACCACATTGCGCCCCAGTCAGTCCAGTGTCTTCCACATTTCCATCCATTATTTGTTGGACTTAGCAACTTTTTCCCTCTTATGTTTGCGCATTGCAAGTGTTGCTTCTTCTGCCCTGAAGGATCCCCTATGGCGAAGACTGCCCACGGTGCAAGTTGGGCTTCAAAAGCGTTTACACAGCTTCTCTCACCCTCTTCGCGCAGTTGGTCGCCCAAGACGGCTGGAGTGAGATGTCTTTGCCTTTAGCCGAGGAGGCACCATGGACTACTCCTTTGCTCTTTATCATTCTAATGACAGTCTCTCTTGGTGTCATGAACTTGATCCTTGCCGTAGTGGTCGAGAAGGCTGCGGAAGTTAGAGAAAACGATCAAGAGCGCAAGATGATGAAAAAAGAGGAGGAACGTGAACGCAACATGATCGAGTTGGCAGTGCTGTGTGATCGAATGGACAATGATGGCAGCGGTGCCTTGTCCTTGAAAGAGATGCTTGACGGTTTTGACAACGATCTCAATTTCAATGCGTTGATGAAGTTCATGGACATTGAGCGAGATGATATGCAGACGATTTTCAACGTCTTGGATTCAGATGGCTCTGGAGAGGTTGACTATGTTGAATTTTGTCATCATTTGGGCAGTTGCAAGAAGCGAGATCCATTGATGATGTCTTCTCTAACCAGATATTCAGTGATGGAAATGCGGAACTTGGTCTCAGGCATCACAAATAGCATTGTAGAGGCAGGATGGGCCCCGAGAAGGTTTGACCCTTTATTTTTTCGCCTGGTGTGCCATGATAAATTGCTTTGATCTTTTACACATTGCAAGCCAGCCCACCCAGCCCACCCACCAGCCCACCATCTCTTAGAAAATTCTTGACCGCTTAGCTGCCAGGTTTTGGAAGAAAACGCACAAATGTTACACGAGCAGCTGGAGCTGCTTTGCTCAGTGCCAGGCTGCGAGCAAGCAGCTAAGGAGACTTCGGTTGGAATGGGAATGGGCAGTAACGCCAGTGCTGGAAGGTTCTTGTGTCGGAAGGCCATGTTGGATTTGATTCTATTTTCAGAGAAGTGAAGTTGCCCCTTGCTCACGATCTACTGTACCTTTAAAGCGAGAACAGAGTGCCAATGCTGGGTCTGGAATCAGGTTGACTACTTGGGGGCTGAGAGTTGAAATCACGAAAATAATGAAAGTCTGACATGCTCATTGAGTCTCTGGAATGTATAAAGAGAGCAGCTTGCTGTTCCCAAGTCACAGACAGAACAAGGTTGACAAATCCTGCACTTCAGAGCACATATACTACTATAAAATTATATATGCAAGTATGGCCTCGTAGGTAAAACAAAGTTGCCAGTTCTGAGGCCACAGCTTCCAGAAGCCACATTTTTGTACTATATACAAAGTTGCCAGTTCTGAGGCGACAGCTCCCCTGCTCCGGCTCCGGTGCATTTTTCGCAAAGATCAGCAGAATGTGCTCGTAGAACAACTGGTATACCACTTCACCGGAGACTGCGCCCAACAAACCCCAGACGAACACTGAAGCTGAGCAACTACAACTGCAAAGCAGCCCAAGCCAGCAGCACTGCTGAACAAAGAGCAAAACTTGAAGGCAGTGCTGGCAATTACAGTAACCCCTTTGTAACAGCAGCTTAAGCGTAAATGAGGCTTTTATGCTCGTAGTCGTTCAGATTAGTAGCTCTGCATTTCTTAAAATGTTTAATTAAAACTCTTCCCTTCAGCTAACTTCCCACAAGAATCTAGCTACATCGCTCATGTTTTTCTGAATGCTTCATCTTGATGGCACAAACTGTGTGACCACGCATGTTTTCAATTGTCCACTCGACCGCTGCAGGAATTGAAGCGGCGGCGGGAAGCAAAGACCGGAGGTGATGGAGCAGGAAGTTCCTTTCCAAAATTGTACCAGGGTTTACTGGCGATACCACTCAGGCCACAAAGCAATTGACTCACACCTTTTGGGAGTCCGGTAATATGTAATTAAAGACTGTCAAATGCATGTAAGTAGAGACATCAAGCTAGATGGCATGAACCCGGATGCTACTTGTCTAGACTTGCTCATACTTATCGCAGATATGTTTAACTCCGAATGGGCATTCATTCAAGTTTCCTAATCAATGCACTGAGAAGACCTGTGTACATGACAAATCCCATTGATGCACCAAAGCCCAGCCTGAAAAGGACTCAACGCGCACGTTCCCACGGAGTTAAACAAGCTATTGACACATCTTAACGATGAGAACCACTTCTCTCGATGACCTAGACTCCTGACTAGACGATTTTTCTAGCCATTGGCCACTTATCAGTTGCTTTCATCAGCCACTGACCACGGGCCACTGTATGGCTTCTCCACAATTGTTTTATTTTTGTTTTTGCTCACATTCCACTTCTTTCGGCTTAGGGGCTGCTCTGAAGATTGTTTATAATTAGTTTTGTTTCTGGTTTGTCAACGTAGATTGTTCGTTTGGGTTGGTTCAGCGTTTGTCTAGAACCTTGGAACCGTTTTTATCATGCAAAGAAACCAAGCCCGAGCTCACTTGCGTCCTTGCTACTAGCTGCTACAACATGTTTCCACTTACTTCGCCACGGTTTGTCCCAGTTTGACGTTCAGCTGTTTTGGCCTTGTCTTTCCAATTGCTATCTGCCGATTCAGGCTCCGAGTGGCTAGTGGTGAGGTGGTCATTGTTCCCCAAACAGTGTGGACACACTAGGGGTTCTTATGGTGAGTGAAAAGCGGCTGATGCTTAGATCGCTGAAGTGCGCGGGCGTGTGCGGCTAATTCGCTGCTATTTACAGTACATTCATATCTCTCGGCATCGTCAATGTGCAGCTCGCAGAATCTGGGGGCCGACGGCGGGTGCTTCTAGTTGTGGTGCCGTGCGCATTTTCTCACTCACTCACTCGCTCGCTCACTCACTGACTCACTCACTCACTCACGCACGCACGCACGCACCCACCCACGCCCGCACGCCCGCACGCCCGCACGCCCGCCCGCACGCCCGCCCGCCCGCCCGCCCGCACGCACCCACGCACCCACGCACCCACGCACCCACGCACCCACCCACCCACTCACCCACTCACCCACTCACCCACTCACCCACTCACCCACTCACGCACTCACCCACTCACCCACTCACCCACTCTCCCACTCACCC